TTGTTTAGTGAAGAGACAGGGATCTGTTTCTCCATCTGTGTTTTCATATGAAGTTGAGGACTTGGTGGGTCGGGATTACTGGACAGTAACTGATGAGGGGAGTGCATAAAAAGGGGGAGCAGAGGGAGGTATAAGTAGATAAACTATAGTGTGTCTCTGTGTGTGTGTGTTTATAAGCACCAACCAAGCAATAATTTTAGGTTGAATCCTTTGAGCAATCAACAGGGAATAAAAACCCAGGCACTTTTCTGGAAACTCTGTATGTCACTACAATTTCCTAGTGATGATCCTGGCTGATTTCTGAAAGTGTGTCTCTGTTTTAAATTTGACAAAAGTGTACTGTCAGAATTGATAACTCTTCTTGTACACATTTGCTTTTTGTGCTCTTAAAGATACCCTGAAATCTGATGAATTAAATACTGAAGGCAAGATTTGGACTTAACTTCAATTAAAAACAATTGCAGAAGAAACACTTATAATTTAAATACAAAGATATGATGACATGTGCTACTCTAACGGCATCTGTAGTCTAAATTTTAGTGCATAAAATTACCTTCTTTATAAAGCCTGTTCAAAGACAGGAAGGGAAATATAGTTTCTTTAACAAATAAATCATGCAACAGAGCATATTGTAATTTCTCATTAAGGACATTATTGCTAATTTCTTTTGGAACTGACTGTGTTTTACTACCATTAAATTCTATCATATATTAAATAAAATTCTATTTATCAGTTACATTTTACCACTTCAAGGGAGACAAACGGGGCTCAGTAACTTGTATGTAGTGACTGAAAAATCCCTCAGACATTTGAAGTGATTGAAGGAAAGTAATGAGAGTAAGTGTAATCATATAGACCCTTCTCCTTTGAAAATTAACCATCCAAATGATGAACGAGCTTCTCTGTCTACAGGTGACTCAATTTAACAGAATATTTAAGATGAAGGAAAGGAAACTTGCACTGATTACATGTTTTTACTTTTTTCTTTCACTAATATGTTAGAGTTTTCTCTAATTGAGCTGCTTTTTTTTTGTTTGTGATTTCCTCTGTCCTTTCCTGGGTGAGAAGACAAAATCAACTGTGATTTGTGTTCAGTACTGCTAATCTTTAGTCTGGAAAAAGATACAGACAGCAACGATCAGTACATTCTTTGCCTTAGGGAGACACTTGAATAGTGATGCCAGTAACATTCAGTAGAGGATAGGACCTATCAAGTAATTTTCATGAACTATTACATCAGGTGGCAAGTCATATAGATATGAGCAACTACATGGCAGCAGAAACATTTTCATTTCCATGTGAGAGTTTCTTTCTCTTTCCTACTTTCACTCACCTTTTGGTATAAGTGGTATAGGAAGCCTGTGCAAATAAAATGGATTTTGGAATCGAGAAGATACTTACTACAAGATGAGAATATTGACTTCATTCCCAGGTATGCAGAAGACTATCCTAAGTAGGACAGTCACCAGTACACTTCATTTCCTTGAAAATTCAAATAAAATAAGATCGTATTTGGTGGAAGACTAGTTTTGACAAA